AAAAGAATCCCAGAATTCCGTCCATTGAAGGCGATTTCCACTGAATGAGATCATGTCCAATTTGGGTAATTTCACTGTATTTGTACTTTTATCTTTAAAAGCATGTTGTTCTTCAAAGAACCTTTGTTGTATTTCCATTTGCTCCTCATTTCTTCTTTGTTGATTTTCAAAGAATTCCTGTTGTAGTTTCAATTGAAGCTCACACATATGCTGAACTACAGTTTCTGCTCCTTTATTTTCTAGTGTTTTGTATTCTACATTAAGCCTTTTCATATCTTTTTGAACATTTTCAAGTTTATAAAACTATAGTCATTGCTTTGTCCTGTAAGGCTGAATCATTATCCATGACTACTTGTAAGAAATTCACTATCACTGTCTCCAATAGCTAATGCCAATTTTTCAGACTGGAATAGTAAGTTTTTCCGTGTAATTATTGACTTTTTTCTTGCATTCCTCTATCCTATTTTCTATCCCTGCTTGCTCCTCAGGCATCTATGAGCATTACATCTGAATATTCAGACAATAGCTGCTCCCCATTTCCAATCTCTGTATCTAAGAAGTTGTAAAATCGTGTCCGAACACCTTTTAGATATGACAAGTTAGTATCGCCCATCATGAATTATTCACTGCCGTATTTCGCTGAATAAAATATGATGCATATACCCCACTTCAAAACAAAATATAAATCCTTTTTCTTGTTTTAAATTTTCACCTGTGGGGGGTTTTTAAAATTCCTCAGCATTCATTGCCTACCCTTTACCCTTTTCAAAACGGGGGAATATTTTAAAAAATTCAAAAAAAAATTTTTTTCACAAACTTTCAACTGTAAAGTACAGAACACATGTCTTCATAATACACACTTCATCACAGAAAATCACACGTGGAAATACAATATCACATTTTTAGATTTTTAGAACTTTGCACAACTTGAAAATATTTCCAAAATTGTTTTTCCTTTTTCCACCGAAACACTTTTTAAATTCCTCTTGTTATAAAGCACTTTTCACAAAAACACTTATCCGGTTCGCGGGACCAATTTCAATGTGGTGGAGATTCAGATTTTACACCAACATTGAAGACAAACTTTTTATTTCTTTTTCAATAAACACTTTATTTTTAATTTCAAACCTTTTATAAACTTTATAGTTCTTATCTTAACTAAACATAACACACCGTGTATATTCCAATGACTGTAATGTCCGAATCTAACAAATGCTGTGAAAGGGCGTGTTTATATAGGCTAATTTACCGCCAAAATGTAACATTACAAGAAAAGCAAGAAAAGTGAGAAAGTGTGGCGTGGAGCAAAGCATAGAAGTATAATTTTCCCGCCTTTCTTATTTTTGGCGGGAAGTTATTATGTACAAAGACGAGGAGCAATAACATATAGCTCATTCATTGATAATAAAATAAAATAAACAAAATAATCGTGTATTTCACGACACTGATCAAGCTTTTGTGAGGACCATCGTGATTACCTTAGTGGAAGACTGAAAAACAAACTTTTTTTTTATTTGGCCTTACCCAATATTGTAATATAGGACAGTGATAATAAATTGTCAGCATCAGACCTTTATTGTTGAGGAGTAGTCTTAGATGAAAATTTTGGCTGAGAAAATAATCATTAATCTTCGAATAGAGTGACATTATCACATAAAATTGTGCAGTAAATTTCCCAGCAGAAAGATATTTTTGCACTGAAATGATGCAGCACCAGCAGTGTGTTTCATATACCTTAATTTCCCTATAGATTTTAAAATACAGTCTAATTAGCAAATACAAGCATGTTTCGAGACAGCTGGTTTTGTTATTTTTTACATAATAAATGACCGTCCCCATAATAAAATAGATCTGAAATGTGATAGTCTGGATATCATATATTATAGTATAAAGTTAACACTTTGTGTTAAGGACCACCTCTATATAGAAGCCAATTGTATAAAAAAGATGCTTAAGGCTTCCATTTTGTGTTCTCATTTTATAAACTATAATAGACTGAACTTGAAGCTCAATATTTTTTACTTGTAAAAAAACCATATTAATTTAAGAAAGGTTTATTTGCTCTGAAGTGTAAAGCATGCCAAAGTATAATAGTCTCGTCAGCATTATAATTCTGAGTGCTTCAGTAGTAAATAAAAATCATATTATTTTGGGACACTATAACTTGACATTATCAGACTTTCTAGGTTTGTAGTCATGAATCAAGTGTGATCATTCCTGCATGGATTTGTAGCCGAGAATCAAAATGATTTCTGGATTTGTAGCCTTAATATTTGGTTAAACAAAATGATTCCCAGGGGTTTTTTGTCATTTGGGTTTTGGGGGTATTAATTCCCTTTCCTTTGGAAAACCCTGGATTATATAAAAATTTTGATTTCCCGGTTATGTAGCCATGGATTTTAAAAAAGGGGTTTTCCCGGATTTTGTTTTAGAATTAGGCCCCGCGTGGGGCAAAAAAATTTAAAAATTTAATTTAGGGCAGTATTTAAATTTGAAGGATTATTTTGATCCCAAAAAAATTTTAACTTAAATAGATGTAATCAGGTATTTATTAAGAAAAAAAATTTTAAATAGATAAAATATTTCGGATTTTTAAAATTAAATTTAAACCTTTTGGGTTCTGTCTTTTTATGTCACAGGAAATTAAATCATTTAAAGATTTGTACCCCTTTAAGATATCTTTTATATTTATTTCTAATTTGAGAATTATCATGCAAGATTGGTATTATTTGACTGTATCTTTCTTTTTAAATGCCCTATAATTTTTGTCCATGTTCTCATATGGTTGTATAAAGACATGTTTGACTGTATTCTTGGTGAGCTCAACTTGTACCAAATCCTGAGATCATATATCTAACCAATAAATCTGTAACATTCTTAAACCGATTGAAATGGATATTAGAACGAAATGAATTATCTATGACATTCCATTTTATTTTAATTAAAACTCTATAGTTTGAAAATGTACTAGTGCAAAAATAAGATTGTTTGCAAGCTTGGTATATAGTTTAAAGTGATTTATTACGCAGAATGTGTTATTTTGGACTTGTATAGAGATTAAAAACTATATATTGGACTTAAATATCAATGAAAAATTACATTTTGCACTTACGTAGAGATGAAAAAAATTACATTTTGGACTTAACGTGGATATAGATGAAAAATTACATTTTGGACTTATAAAGGAGCTCTTTATAAGTATAACAGATGCAATACTACAATTTTGACTTACATTAAATGTATCAAGTACAAAAATACATTTTGGACATATATATTTTGACTGTTCAACCAAGCAAGCAAGAGTTTATTTTTACAAATATTGATACTGGTTTATATTTTTCTCTCTTTTGAACCTACTTCTTATAAATTGCCATGTATGACTTATTGGCCATCTCAGCATGGTGAGAATGAGTTATTGATGAAAGTAGGAATGATTTATCTCCTGCTCTTGGTAATAAATAAATAGCTTTTGGTATTTTGTCAAGCCACAGCGGAAATCTACTGATTTGGTACTTGACTGGTTCCTTGTTAATTAGGATAATAATAAGAGCTGAAGTAAAGAAAGATTGTCTGCAGAATTTACTTTGGTGATAAGAAAGAAAGAAACATCATGTTTGTCCATCATAATGTTGGGTGGGTAAGGTTTTTGCAATTTAAGGTCAGGGTTGGGAGATAATTGGATGGGTATGTGGTTCAAGGAATTCAGCTACTGATGAAATTTTGACCAATGTATAATGAGATTTGTCCAATCTTATTTAGCTGAGAGATTTGGCTGAGATTAGATTCATTATTATGGTTCTAGGTGACACAAAAAGATTTGAGCCGCGTCACAACAAAACCAACATAATGGGTTTGCGACCAGCATGGATCCAGACCAGCCTGCGCATCCGTGCAGTCTGATCAGGATCCATGCTGTTCGCTTATCAACTCTATTACAAGTGGAGAAACTGACAGCGAACAGCATGGATCCTGATCAGACTGCGCGGATCAATGCTGGTCGCAAAACCACTATGTTGGTTTTGTTGTGACGCGGCTCAATTGCAGTAGGATTGTAGGAATTGTTTGGCTCAGTCTGCATCATACTTCTCATTCTTCAGAGTTAAGGGTTCATCCCAAATCCTCCTCAGACTTACAGACTTACACTTGCAAGAAAACATGGATTTGTTCTTAATGCACAGAATTTATGGGGGAGGAAGGAATATTGGAATAATTGCTGTCTGACTTTATGAATAATCTCTGCAGAAAATGATACCAGTTTATTTAGATAGGCTCTTAGTAAGAGATTGAGCTATTGATTTTAAGTTATAATTCAATATAATACAATCGGTCATAACCTGTACAATGCTAAATATCCTAAATGGACTAGTCCATCTTTTAATCTGGACAAGACCATTTATCATTTTAAGGGGAAATTTTAAATAAATTCTGCCTGAATAGCAAAGATTGCAGACCATGACAGATATGTCTGCACTGATGGCAATGTAGATTCTATAGCAGCCATCAAGCTAAGCGTGTTTGTGTTTCTACATAAAAAATATATTAATTTATAAGAAGAATGAATAGTGTAGCTGCTCATTGTATTTATTCTTTTGATAAATTGCCTTAATCTTTACTTAGAAAGTAAGATCGCTGAAATTTTTGTCTCATCCTCTTACTTGCAAACAACATGTTATAGTCTACCAAAGCATCATTTCAAGTATCTATAGGACTAATTTTTAAAAAATTGAAGCTCTGGAAAAGTCCATAATGACTGAATTATTGTCAACCATAGAAAGTTTAAAGTTGACTAGATACCGTCATGATATTATTTCAATAAATAATTACAAGAGCAAGCTATTGCTTTGTTTGTCTATTGAATTCAGGTTTTACCTCTTCGGTTTGAAATATGTATCTATATCAGTTTCAGGTGAACATCTTGCATAAAAATATCATGGTCTGTTATTTTCATTTATGATAAATTGCATCACTTTAGTAATGTTTTGATGTATTGTTGTTTCTAGGACCTGTTCTCAAGTAACTGGAAGTCTGGTGTTGCCTCGGTGAAAACCGGAAGATCGGCGTCATTAGATAGTTTACCGGGTAAATATTATCTTTTTTCTTGCTGTGTGGTTAACCTTTTACCACATAAGCATATTGTAAGAATATTATATTAAGATAGTATAAGTAATGCTTCAATACTGATCAAACTTGGCACAAATTTTAACTTGACATAGCCTTTGTATCGGCATGCTCAATCTTAAATTTCCTGTTACCATGGCAATGAGAGACATCTCAAAATTGCCAAAAATCACTATTTTGTGTTGTTTTTTCCATCAAAACTGATTTCAAAGTGTTACAACTTCTAAATGGATTGAGATAGAAACAAAGGCTTTTCAGTGTTGGTTACACGTTGCCTTAAGATTGACCTGAGGCCAAAATTGTCTTAACAATGAGGGGATTCACTGCCCCCTTCAAACCCCCAAACAAAAGGGGGCACATCCCCCCTTGATGTACTTTTTTTGACAACACATGAGAGTAAATTTAAAGTGGCAGGGTGGTTAAAGATGCTGGCTTCAAATGAATCATGCTAAAATCACAGTAGCTCTGGATTAGAATTCCTCCGATATGTTCATGTTAAACATGACTTTTAAAAATCAGTGGTTGTACCTGTGAGCCCATATTTTGTCTCGGGCTGAAACTTTGTTTAGAGGGTCGCTATATTTGTATATTTGTTACACAAGTGAAGTCGGAAAGTCACTTAATGACATTTACATAAATGATGTGATTCAACCTCTATAAAAAGTAATTGTCTTGGCAGAAGGCCAGGCAGCACATATTGTACTGTAAGACCAGAGTCAATTATCTGCCCCACAGCTTCCATCTTTTCATATGAATATTGTCCCGATGAGTCCAAATATAAGTGTGTGATAAACATTTTTAGTTGCCTCAGGATACCCATATGGGTGACACGTTCTAGAATACTGTTTATAATGTTACATTTTGAAATATTGTGCAACAAATACAGAAATAAAAGTCCATTGTGGGAGAGGCAGTATTACTGGTTATTTTACATGTAAGGCGTAAAGCACCATTTTTTAAAGTCTCAACCAAGATACTTGTAGGAAAACGATCTAGTACGGAAAGCTTGGAATTGAACCCATGTCCCCTTTATTAATTTAAATTAATACCTATGTTACTATATATAGTAACAAAATCTAGGGTACCGGTATTTCAGGGCCATTATGACAAGATCTAGGTCATTATGTGATTTTGGCCGCCTTGCTACTCGGCATTATTTTTCCATAATGGGCGAGTGAATGAGCGCACATACAGAATGACGTCATCAACTCTCAGTGACTTTCAAGATGGCTGCTGACGTTGAATGAACTAAAGTCACTTGCACACAAAATTTAAAGTTTAAATGACGTATTCAATCGCAATCAACAAAGCTTAACATTGAATATTTATAAACTCAAGAAAAGAATACAATAACTCATTCCAAGACAAAACATGACCCTCTGAAATTCCAAAAATGATTTCAGTTAGACGGTAGACAAAAAGATCGTATCGATGGCAAATTTTTTAGAGCTAGACATAAATCTCGGAAACCATTCTTGAAGACACTAAAGTTTATAAAAAATACAAGAGTATTATCGATATAAACAACAATAAAACAACATTGTCTCATATTTATTTTGTTTTGTCATATTTTTAAAGGTAATCGGAGAATTAAACTGAATGACAGCTACATGTGTATTAAAATTTTGTTTACATTGACAACAGTCCGTTTCTTAGAAAGGGCGACAACCAAGATTAGCGGCTATGTCTAAATGCCGTATTTCGGACATTATAAGGTATTAAAGACGTTAATACTTGGTTGCTGCTCGGCATTATGCGATAATGGCCCTTGAGTCCATAATGTCCTTCGGGCCTGCGGCCCTCAGGCCATTATGCACATCTTCGGGCCATTATGGCATAATGCCGAGCAGCAACCAAGTACTAACCACTAAGTAGCCAGGCAGTGTTACCAGTAAGTCTCTGTGCCTGCTTTTCCAAATACAAGGCCGGACAAGTCTTGTTATATGTTCTTACAGGGGTAAAGAACTAATGTGAGAATTTTTATTTATTTCAGAAAATCCAATGGACGTGACGGATTTTGAGGCAGTACAGATGAGGTCAACGAGCCTCAGTAATGAGGCGGCCAAACATCGTATCTCTGTGAAACCAAAGACCAAACGTGTGTCAAAGAAAGTGTCAATGAGGAAGAGGGAGGTAATAAATGTTTTCATCTTACAAGACATAATGCATAGTTATCATTAACTTTAGTTATTATGAAACAATGAAATAAATAGTAGGATCACAAGTTTTTGTTGATACAAGACAAAAAAGAAAATTTATTATAACATGTTAAATGATTGTTTTTATAGTTATCTTTGTATGTTTGAAAGAAAAATGTCCAAAAAAAGCTTATATAGATAATATATTACTTAATATAACAAAGAGAAGTTCAAATGGTAAGATTGAGTGATATAGGGTCATTGTTTTATAGTCTTCTCTTGTTTTAATGTGTAACGTAAACAGATGTAAAGCCTGGGGGCAAACTTTGTGGGTTTTTAAAAAAAAAATTCTTTCATGATTTTGATATATCTACTTATTGATGTTTCTTAGCATTTTAATGTAGAAAAACATTATATATCCATATTTGAATATTTTTTTTCTCATCAGAATTGATTTTCCTCAAGGGACAAAACTTTTAGTTGATACAAGACAAGAACTCTTGAGTTCATTCCCTTATATTTTTATATGAACTCTTTGAAAAAGAAATGCATTATAAATAATAAGTTATTTAAGACAAAACTTAATATGTAGTTATTTTCGTTTATATTCAAGTATCTAGAATTTCATATTTTTGATGATGCATTAAGTCCACAGTATCTGTCAAGCAATAAAAAGATAAGATTTGAATATAAATTGTTTAGAATTTTGACCTTACATGTAAGATCATATTGGCATGGCCTATTGTTGTAAGTCATTGCTGATTCATGTAGAAAATTTGATTTTGTTGAAAATTTGTTAGTATTCGAGAGGGAGAATTAGGATCCAAAGGCTATTATTATTATTGTCATGTAATTGTAAAAATAATTTATGCAAAACTGACAAATATTTGTATGTAGTATGTTATTCATATGTATATGTAAAAGTATTGCAAGCACTGTATTATGTACAGTATGTATGTTTATGTTGTCTTGGCCATATTCATCACTATGTAATTGTTAATGTGGCCAAATGCATGATATTATGCCGGTTTGCTATTTAAAAAACTGAAACTATTTTGAATAATTATGATATGATTATATGATTTCAGAGGTCACCAGCATCGCCCCTGTTACCAGATGTAAAAGAGGAATCCCCGACAAAATCACTGTCAGATCAAGGTATATAGCTCATGTCATGTGTTTTTGATTTTAAAAAATCTGTTTGAGTTAACCATTTGTTAACTCCTTACCTGATGAAACCAAAATTGATTAGCATTTGTCACCAGTATAGAACCAGGCCAATCTTCACATCTGTGCAGTCTGACCAGGCTCTATACTGTTTGCAACTAAGTTCTGAACTCAATCTTTGAAGAATAGGGAGAAGAACTATTGTACTCACCCTGGCATTGCTGTTGTCGTCACTGTCACACTTTGGTTAAGTTTTTGCATGCAAGTTGGTATCTCCAAAACTTCCAAAGGGAATTTGTTGGAAATTCATACATTTGCTCTTTGTAGTTATCTTATGTTAGGTTTTGTTTGGATTTTCACATTTTATACTTTTTGAGGATGTGAAGTGGTATCAATTATTTCTGAGCAACTTGCATTTTGAGAATTGTTTTGAGATAAGTCTGAAAATATTGCAAAAATAGTCTGAAAATATTGTAGAAATTTTTCCTTAAACTTTTTAAATGATGAAGGGCAATACCAGTTTAACTAATTAGTCAAATTAGTATGAAAAGTCTTCATCAGTATTGATTTTAAGGTAAAATATACACAGTGTTAAGCTGGTGGAATTTCAGCATGTTTTGCCATTCATATAATTTATGATATCCTATAAGGATGAAAAATAAAGCAATGTGATTTTATAAGGTTTTGTTTGAATAGATAGATAGAAGCTTATGCTCTTTAAATGCATTATGAGTTTTATAATAGTTTAAGTTTTTTTTCTTATTCTGTATTTCAGAACATAAGGACACTAATGTTCCCCACAAGACTGTTATATCAACCACAATTCCTGTTGGTCCACAAGCAGACGCAAATGTTAATGTCATTCCAAAATCGGAACCTAAAGATATTCCAAGTCATCAAGAAGTCACAAGAAGGTCACATGTCAGAGATATGGCAAGGTCAGACCCAAGTGTTATTCCAGGGTCAGGATGTCATAGTGACCATAAAAGTAGGCCGCGATCTTTGTCACCATTGTCGACAAGCCCAGTGTCTAAGTCTATGCTAAATGATGTGAAATTGCGACCCAGGCCTACTTCAGGAAAGTTTGATGGTGACGATGTTAAAAAAGAAGCCGCAAGTAGTGAAAATGAACTGGCAAAAGCCTTTAACAGGGCAAAGAGAATTTCTAAAAAGTTTGATGAAGAGGGTAATGTAGTAGAAATGAATGCCAAGTCAAGTAATAAGGTTCAAGGGAAAGAAAAGCAGGCAGAAGAAACTAAACCTGTTTTAGTTGCTTCCCCTGTCAAAGACTCACCTGTATCACCTGTTTCAGGTGTAAGCTTTGTTCTGAAAAAGGAACCGTTGCGACCAGGAAACAAAACAGACAGTTCAAGAAATAGTGATAATGAGCCAAAAGAACTTTCAAAAACTTCAGCCCCATTGCCAAAGGCCACAATAACAGACACCCCAAAATCTGTTATTATTAGCACAAGTAGTGTTGAAACAGCAAAAGAAAGCAAGCCAGTTGAGAAAGAAGTTAAAGTAGGTGTAACAGAGGTGTCTCCAAAGCAAGGATCTCCTGAGAAATTAGCTTCTCCGAGAGAAGACTATAAACTTAAAAGAGCTGTTAGAAGTAAAACACTGCCAGTTTCCAAAGATATAATGAACAAAACTGAAGAACCTGAAACCAAAGTAATGGTAACCAGATCAGGAAGTCCACCTCTAGGGAATGTGAAAAGAAATGACTACGAAAATGTTGAAATTGGAGGGAAAGGGCCAACTTTTCAGTCTAAAAGGTCGTCCTGGGCTCCAGCAAGTGCAACTACCGCAAATGCTATAGCAGAACCTGCTTGGGTTGTGCGTGCAAGATTGAAAAAAATGGAACCGGATAAAAAAGTAGAAGTGGATAAACCTGATACTGCTAAAGAAGTTAAAGTAGAAGTTAAAGGAGCAAGTCAGAGTAATAGTGTTAAAAATGAAAAAGCTGAAACTGTTGATAAAGTAGCAAATGAACAAAAATCTGATATTCCAAAGGGCACAGTGCAAACAGGTGGTGTAAAGACATGGGCTCAAAATTTTAGTGCAAAACCATTTGAAAAATCACTAGGATCTAAGCCAAATATTGCTTCTGTAAAACCAAGTGTTCAATCTGTTAAGCCTCCTGTAACAAATATGGATCAACAATCTAAAGCAAGTGTTTCAGTAAATCCATCAGTTAGTTCTAATTTTGTTACTTCAGCAAACTCAAAGCCAACTGCAACAGTATCTGCCAAACCAAATGTTACATCTGTTTTAAAACCAACAATTTCTTCAACTGTTTCTAAACCAAATTTTTCTTCTCCTGCTAAAACATCTGTTTCAGGAGCACCAAAACCTACATTTTCTAAGCCGTCTGTGACGGCCAGTTCAAAGCCAGCTGTGTCAGTCACTTCAGCTTCAAGTGCTGACAAACCTGCCAGTTCAGTTTCTGGAACATTAAGCTCAGACAAACCATTTTCTCAAAGTGTTAAATCTACCACAGCATTTGGCGGTGTGTCCTCTGCATCAAGTAACTTTTCAAGGTCTTTTACTGCGAAATCAGGGACCAGTGTTCAAAAGACAGTTCAAGATACAAAGTCTGCTTTTCAGTCTTCTGTGAAACCAGTCAGTATTGCAAGAGCAGATTCAAAAGACTCTACAAATAAATCTATATCCATCAGCAGCATTAACAAAACATCCAATCAAGATAATAAAAAAGCTGATAATGATATGAAGAATGCAAGTACTGCAACTTCATCTTTGAAATCTAGCGGCTCATTTGATAAATCAAAACCAGCACTTAGCAGCGTTGGTGGTTCAAAGCCGGAAACCAGCTCAGCAGTTCCAGCCTGGAAACAAGCTTTGAATCAGCGGAAACCAGCAACTGTGTCCCCATCAGTGAAGATAGAAATAATAGACAAAGATGCAGAAAAACCAGCTCAGAAAAAGGTTGAAGAGGTGAGATTTATACACCTGTGTATTTTTACTAATTGATGCTTTGAAAAACATATTCAATAAGATTTTTTGGTCACTGATTCAAACAAGGTAAAATTTGTGTACCTTGTTGTACACTTGGTATTAAGTATTATGAAAAATGATAATTATGAAATCTAAATCTTGTGGTATGTTCATAAAGCATTGATATTAAGGTGTCCATGGCCCATTGGTTGTTAACTTCAAACCACTTCTCCCTCACTGCTGTGGGTTTGAATCCAGCCAGGGACTTTGGATTTTTTCATGTGAGGAAGCTATCGCATCTAACTCACCGAACATTAGTGGTTCTACTCAGTTGCCTGTTCATACCTGAAATAATGCATTGAGGGTCATCTGAGGTCTTCCTCCATCAGTAAAGCTGGATTGTCACCATATACCTTTGCCTTGTCAATGATGGGATGTAAAACCCAACCAAAAAAAACATGATTTCTCAAGGCATTGCATTAATTTATATTTTTTTTTGTTGATAATTGATTTTGATACAATTTCTTGCTTTCTTGATATTGCAGTTGAGAAACAAATTTAAGACATGGTAAAAATTAATGTGATAACCTGATTATTCTTTACCATCTGTTGTATATGTGATTTTCTTGCTCATTTGATGTTGAACTCTTTCTAATATGTTATAAGGCAGAGTATAAATTCAAGTTGACTGAAACCTTTCCTTGTAGATCAGTGCCGTTTCATAAACTTTGGCTCATGAGTCATTTATTGCCTTTTACATAAAGTAATTTCAACCTAAGGTTGTTCCCTGAAGCTGAAAAATTGTTGGGAAATACTCCCAAATTCTTCTGCAAACCACATTGATGGTGGGATAACTGGTTAGGAAACCCAGAAAAAAAAATTGTTTGGTGTGAATATGATTTAAAGAGCTATGGCAGGCATCACAAAAGGGTTTGATAAAGAAAAATACTGCACAGATTTACAATTCAACCAGGCTTGGCTCATAATGCTGGAAGTATACTTTAGATACTTTATTGTTACATGCTTAATTTACTCCTTTCTGAATATTTATTACCATATTTTTTTTAATTGATTTTGTCTCAACAGTATGTGATACCAGTATTGTGTTTGCCTGAGTCTGATTCATTATATGCATGTTCTATAATAATAAAAATCCCCTCTTCTAACTCTGCAACATTAATTATGCCTTGCTGTTTATATTTCTTATTACAATACAACTGTCGTTCTGAGAAGAAGAAAAAATCAGCCCTATGTTCTTGCATTAAACATGCATGAGTTTGAACTTGAATCCCATGCTATGCTCAATTTGTAAAAGTAGATGTGTCTTGCTTTGAATATACCAAAATGTTGTTAATTGGTTTATAACGAGGCATAGCTGGGTTTAAATTTATGTGTAGGTCAATCTAGAAGGTTTGGAGGCACAACCCCAAAGATTTGTTTTGCTTTGGAATAAAAAAACACACACACACACAACAAATCATGTGTGAATTTGATTTTTGGGAAAATCAATTGTGTGAATTCTTATATATTTTTAAGATTTATAGTTAAAAAATAATGAAAACATTTTACATCCATTTTACATCACACCATAATTTTTCTTTACACAGTAAAATGGACAAAAGAATGTTAACCCTTTACCACATATATACGCGAAACAACGCACTTTCGACCCCCCCCCCTTTTTTAGGCCTCAAATAGTGAAAAAATGTCCTATTTGGGCCCCAAACATAAGTTTTCGTTTGAGAAATGTTGCTTAAAAAATTGAGCACTTTTTCGGCGCCGCCCCCCATCCAAAAGATACATCAGGGGGTTGCCAGAAGGGGGATGTGCCCCCTTCTGTTAGGGGGGTTTGAAGGGGGGCGGAGTCCCCCTCATCGCCAAGAAAATTTTGGACTTGTGAGAGGCTAAAAATGACCCCAGGTCGATCATAATGTAACGTTTAACCAACGCTGAAAAACCTTTGACTCTATCTCAATCCCTTGAGCAGTTGCAGCACTTTGAAATAAATTTTGATGGAAAAAATCGAGGCAAAATAGTGATTTTTGGCAATTTTGAGATGTCCCCTCGTTGCCATGGTAACAGGAAATTTAAGATTGAGCATGTCGTTACAAAGACAATGGTCCAGTCAACATTTGTGCCAAGTTTGATTAGTATTGAAGCATTTTTCATAGTTTCATAGCAGTTTGAACTTGTAACAGGAGGCTTTTCAGTGAAAACGGCCATTTTTCACAATATGCTCATGGGGGAAAGGGTTAACTAAAAAAATTATAAATGTTACAAAACAACAATTTTTCACCAAAATTAGGGCAAATACGACATGTTAACATGGAAAAACTAGTTTTTAGGTGATTCCAAAGTTTTTCATCATTTTTTGTTAACCCTTTACCACATATATACGCGAAACAACGCACTTTCGACCCCCCCCCTTTTTTAGGCCTCAAATAGTGAAAAAATGTCCTATTTGGGCCCCAAACATAAGTTTTCGTTTGAGAAATGTTGCTTAAAAAATTGAGCACTTTTTCGGCGCCGCCCCCCATCCAAAAGATACATCAGGGGGTTGCCAGAAGGGGGATGTGCCCCCTTCTGTTAGGGGGGTTTGAAGGGGGGCGGAGTCCCCCTCATCGCCAAGAAAATTTTGGACTTGTGAGAGGCTAAAAATGACCCCAGGTCGATCATAATGTAACGTTTAACCAACGCTGAAAAACCTTTGACTCTATCTCAATCCCTTGAGCAGTTGCAGCACTTTGAAATAAATTTTGATGGAAAAAATCGAGGCAAAATAGTGATTTTTGGCAATTTTGAGATGTCCCCTCGTTGCCATGGTAACAGGAAATTTAAGACTGAGCATGTCTTTACAAAGACAATGGTCCAGTCAACATTTGTGCCAAGTTTGATTAGTATTGAAGCATTTTTCATAGTTTCATAGCAGTTTGAACTTGTAACAGGAGGCTTTTCAGTGAAAACGGCCATTTTTCACAATATGCTCATGGGGGAAAGGGTTAAACAAGGAAGAAAAAAAAATGTTATGTTTATTTGTTTTTATGTTAAGAATTTGTCAAATAAAGAAGCTTAATAGGGCAAAAAACGTGTTTTGACATGTTAATTTGTGCAAAATGATTCATCATATCATTTTTGAACAAAATGTTTTATACAAAAGAGCTTAATATAAATGTTGTAATATCTTTATTAGTACTTTAAGTAGACTTCTGTTTAAATCAGTTATGACCTAGTGACCTATTTAATTTGCTTATTTGTGATTTTTTTTTTCCAGAAACCTGCCCCTGTCCAGCTTCGACCAGAAAAATGCGGAAATATGTCTGTGAACAGACCATCCAAGGTGCTGGATATGGTAAAAAGCTTCCAGAATCTTCAGGTCACGTGATCAGGATGTATATTATGTCACATGACAACAGCCAACCAATGAGATCAGTCCATCATTGATGTATAGACTGAATTGACCAATGAAACTGCTTGCAATTTTACACTTTATGAAGAATCTATTTCTACATTCAGTATTTATTTGATGTGGGTTTTCTTATAGACATAATACAGCATGGTTTATAACATGCATTTAGAATGTTTTTTTGCCATTGTCAGACAGGCTTTTTTTACATTCAGTAGCTTTATTTCTGCATAATCTATTTCTAAATCATCATGAAATATTTTTGCATTTGTATGATTACAACAGTTACAACGTATATACATAAGAATGACCAGTTGTTTTAAATTTAATTACTTTTTTTCCAAAGCTTTTTTTTTTTAGATGTTCCAACTTTTTTTAAGTGTTTGATTTGTATACACCTAACTATTTTTCAATATAAGATGTAATTGCAAATTTTACATTTAGATAAAAGGCTGTGAAAGTTATGTTTTCCTGACTTAAGAAAAAGTAAAATTTTGATGTAGCATAATTTTCAATTCATTCCTGTGTAGAATGTCAAATTTTACTAATCAATAGTGGTAGTGTGTTCATTGAATTCAAAGTCATAAATTATTTTTTTTGAAAAACTAGCACTTATAGTATTGGGTGTTCAATTTTAGATTTAATTTTAAAGATGATAAGGGTGTCCCTGTCTTATTGAAAATACTAGGTCCATTACAGCCTTAATTGTTAGTATAGAAATTTATTGGAATATGAAATATAGGAAACAAAATGTTATGAAATTATGATAAGACATATAGATTTATATTTTTCCTTATCCACATAACTTACATGTTAACGAATATGCATTTTTAAAAATGAGCATGTATACATGTGTTTATTCAATAGGCTTTCATTGAATATGTACTGTGTACTATGTACATACGTAAGAAATTGCCTGTACATCATAATATCTCGTGTGTAAATAATGTACATTCTGTAGAGAATTGTATAATAATAAATGTATTATATTGTACTGTATAAAAAAAGAGGGGATTTTTACAACAGCTCTCGGATGGAGTGTTGATTTATGTATATAGAAGTGGCTTTATGATTTCATAAGTAATTTGAGTATATCTTTATGTACATATATATGTATATGAGAAAAGGCATTATGAATCCATTATCTGTTGGCGACACTAGATGTACATAAAACACTGACAGTATATCACTTGAAATGCACATGTCCACAGTTTGGTGCGCAACAATTGAAATAAGAGTTGCAACAAGTACAATAAGAGTTGCACTACAGAGATATTCTAAGAAAGACAATTTCTGTATGTTAAGTTTGGATCTTTTTTTTATGAAATAGAAGTTAAAGTTTATAAAGCTGTATGAAAAGAAATGAGGGTTTTAATGGTTTTGGGATGATTTTTTGTAACAGCGCAATTTGCTTTGAAGGAAATATACATTAAATATATATTTCTTCATACAGGTTATAGGAAGTATACCTTATTCATAATTAAAACAATATTATTTTTTAATTTCCTTGCAGCAGATATATAGCTTTATACACTTAAAAATGAAAGAAAATCTTAGAATGGGCCAAATACTTTAAATGACATGCTTAAAAGATGTATTTATTATATTATATTACCAGTGCTTACCTCAGCTTCTTAAGGCATTTTCATGATGAATATTTAATACATGTATTTACTATTTGATCAATTGTCGAAAAATGAATTTCTTATACCTGTCTGTTGTCTGATTGTAGTCTAAACAAAAAAATTACATCTTGTATATGTGGATGAATTTGAAGAATATTGGTCATGGATTCAAGGTTCTGATTGGTTGATGTCAAAGTTTGTATGCAAAATTGACCAATCACTGCTCTGTTAACATAAGGCCATAACTTTAAATATTTGACAAATGGATGGCAAGCTATCATACACATTTAATCTTTAGAAAAATTGAATGTTGTCCATTTAACCAATGAGAAGCATGCTCTTATTTTTAGAAATTAAGCATTCCTATACTGGACCAATAAGAATCATTGATTTGTGAATTTGACCAATTAGAAGCAGGCTAACAGATTTTCTTAGAAAAATATTATCCATACATTAGACCAATGAAAATCAAGTATCTGTTTATTTGACCAACAAGAAGAAAGCTTGTGAACATATAAAGAAATTAGTTAGGTTCTGGACCAATGAGAATAAAGTTTACATATGTTTGACAAACTTTGGTTGTTAATTATCATATTACCCTGCAAGCAGATTTGATATGCATCTAACTTGCATGTTTAATTTAACTTGATATTTTTGCATAAACATATATATTTTTTACAATTATTTGATCTCTTATGTAATAATTTTAAGCAAAATATGGTGATAGAGGCTTTTTATGGGCTAAAAGGGTGATTATTTCTAGCTTTCTTAAAGCCCAGAGGTTGGAAACCAAATGATTTTGTCTCCAGATGTGAAATGTCTTACTGTTTCCACAGGGTTTATAAGCAAGTGGTCTCATAACAAAAATTATTATAAGAAACTGTTGAAATATAAAGCAGGTAATTTATGTAATTTTTGTGAAAAATATTTCATTTCCTAAAATAGCTGTTTTTGATCTTTATACGTAATAGTGCTGTTCTTTGTACTATGAAATGCTGACATCATGCTTTGAATTTAGATGTGTACTTCGTTAGTTGAAAGGATTTCTGATTTTCAGAAACTATTTGGTCACTTTAGTGAAGTAATAGGTTAACTCCTATTAAATTATATAAGATGTTAAATCGTTACTGGACTAAGGTGACGATCTGTTATATAATACTGCAGTCATAAATATTAAAAAATCAACACTTTCTGGATGTTCATTTTACATGTTAAATGCTACCTGATGAAATATAGACTTTTATCAGTAGTAAGATATATATCATATCATTCACTGCAATGTCTCTAAATGTGGATAAATATGTGTTTTGTATTAAGAAAATTGTATAATTATTTAATGACAATAGTGGCATTAAGAAAAAGCATTTTGCTGTATTTCACTTGTACAATTAAGTGCTCAGGTTTGTGTGAAAAATGTTTCTATTTCAATGAGATATATTCAATATTCCATTGAGAACAAATAAATATTCTCTATATACACTTACCTATCTAAACACACATATTTAAACATGAAAGTGGCTGAAGTTTTCATTATCTGTGAACTATATTTCAAAGGAATAAAAGCCCACAAAACATATTTGTGAAAAAAAATGTGCTGCCAAGAGAAAATGGTCCTCGTGCACAGTGATGTTATGCAGTTGTTGTTTTGTAGTATATACATTAAATCTTGTTTGCTGTTTTTTCATCTCTTAAAGTTATACAAAGAAGCCAAAAAAAGAAAAACAACACCTTGATATGCATTTTGGAATATATCCGCAATAAATGTTCAGTAGTAAAATGCAGACCTTTAAAAAAAACAACAACAGCAAAAAATGATAAAAAATACTATGCTTGATTAAAAGAAAATATTTTAAAGTTTTTATAAACGAAACATTCTTCATGTACAGAGTATTTAAAACATTGAATAGTATTGAAATTTTCCTAATTGGGTTGTCACAGTTCATTCAATTATGCACAATGATTTAAATGTATTATAATATTCACATTTTTCGAATACATTCCAATCCTAGAGGGATCAGTAAAATCAAATATTTTTTATTCGGGCCCATTTTTTTTCTTTTTTTCAGTGTACCGCTTTATATATTTTGACCCAATATTTATCAATATTGCAAAAGCCAGTACAGATTTTGATTTATTTACTAAAGTTGCTTGCGTTTCGAAATATTTTCTTTTATTTATTTCAATAGCTTTCTTTCAAACCTTTTTGGCTTTTATTAGAGTTGACTTAGCCAATTTATTATCCTTGCCTTACATTTTTTGGCATTTCTGTCAATTTTATAGTTTTAAAAGATAAATTATGTGTTTGTTTTCAGTAGTGTTACTTTTATCAGTGATTTTTTGTGTTTATATTTCTTGTTGTTACAGTTGGGATGATGTATATTGACACAAATTTTACTAAATGTTTACCATTAATGATATATTTCACATATTAAAACATTTATGCTGATTTTTCTTTCCATGTTTTTTTCTTTCTTAGACCTCCCCTTTGTTGAATGTTTATTGTGTTCTATACCGATGAACTCCCAAATACATCAATGCGGCATCAATGGTAGTGGTGTTGGTAGTTTAATCTCCGGATCACGGCAGTATGCCACATTTAATTTACCAGAGGACAGTTCAGCCACCGCATGGTTTCTAGGAAGGCTGTCACTTCCGCAAGGAACTGATAAGTTCTGTACATGCCAGAGTAGAGGTACAGTGCAAATGAACGTAGAAAGGATTTCATGATCAATCACAACGAAAGTGAACTGCCCCTTCCGATAGTCGTAACCGGGTCGCCCGATTCACAGCCAAACACTATACCTCTACGTTGAGAGTTGACTGCCGCATCAATGTTTGGATTTAAGCTTTTGAATATGGTCGCCACCAGAAATTCAAATTGGTGAATCACTCCAGACAGGTGTAAGTCAGTTGATATTTTGAAACTTAAGATACACGGCTATCTGTCCCTGATGTAACCTCTTGTTCTTTTGACTTGCATAAATTGTAGGAACCTTGTCTAGTCGATTGGTACTGGTAGTCAAATGTCTTAACCCTTACAACGGGAAAAATATCTTGAATGGACTTGTCCATGTCGACTGATTTATTGTATTTAGTGGGAATTTCAAAATACTGACTAAAAAGCAAACTGATGTGCTGGCTTATTTTGACGTATCCGTATATTGCAGCTTGCGTAACTATATAAGGTTTTTATAAGTTTTTTGTCTAAAATATTTCATACAGCAGCCCCATATATTTCATTGTCAACATATAGGATTTTTTCTAAACAAGCCAATCTGATAATCCAGGGTATTTCAAATAGAAGGACCATGGTGTTTCTTAAAACCCAATGAAATAATGAGCATGTTAATTGATGGAAAAAAGTCACACCAGTATAGGCAGGTGTTGCTGCATGTTTCGGTCACTATACAATGTTGCATACAATGATACCATGGCCTCCAAAACCCTCCGCGGAGAAGGCACACGGCAGTACCATAGATGATTGGTTGAGCTGTCGTGACTAACTCTAGAGGGTGGCGCTAGCAAGAGCTGTATTTGTTAGAGATTCCGTCGGAAAGCTGTTGCCTTGGATAGTATTGTCGTCTCCTTCAACCACCAACGAGCGAAGAACAAGTTCCGGGAAGACTCTGCATGACAAATCGCCGCTGATTTGGGCTCTATGAATTGACCAGCAAGTGCGCAGATAATCTGGCCCATATGGTTATTCCAGCGGTCAGTATATATAAATCTATCTACAACAACTACCATGGCCAAAGCCATTTAAAAGACACGAATGAAAGTAAGAGGAGGTAGCGACTAGCTGAATGTTATTAATTTTATTTACATGTATCAAAATTGGTTTTAATGAATATTACGAAAAGATGAATGTTCATTAGTAAGCATTTACGAAATCAGCTGTTGTTTTTTGTCTATCAATCAGCAATTCCATATAAAATTATTTAAAAGCGACCCGACCAATGTATTTAATACATGTAGTGGATTTTGTAATACTTATAATGATTTGTTTCATAATTAAAGTTGTGGTAAAATGGAACAACTTCAATCGGTCGTTGTGGTGAACAGATGGTGTTTGCGCAGACCGTAATTATATTTCCAGTACTTAGTGTTTCTTTAGCTTAAGCAAAGCTTTCTGAAGTTTCTGAACAGGCAAGAAACATTCCAATTTAAATTCATAGTTTGAGAAAAAAAGCCAAATTGTTGCAATTGCTCCGAAAGAACATGGAGCTTTATATTACGTAGTTAAAATCTTTGGAATTTATAAATAACATAATTATTAGGGGAAAAAATGATTAAAAATAGTTATACGAAAGAAGCAACGTTTTAAATTTTATTATGATTTAATAAAACCAGAGACATAGATAACAAAAGTTATCTATGTCTCTGATAAAACATAATGAACATCAAATGTAACATGGTTTAAAGCTAAACATAACATTCATGTAAACATTTTAAATATTAAATATTTTATGCACAATAATTATCAACAACATATACAAGAAAAGACAACTACTATAATCGGAATGTGTAAGTCATATACTGATTGTCTCCCTTGACAATGACTATACGTTTAATACGATTGTATCGTGAAGAAGAAATGGGCAACACAAATGAACGCATTTTAAACTGGAGGAACATTTTACATTCTTCCATAGTTCATTATAAATCACATATTTAACAAAATCATAATATTCTGTCAATTGGCAACGACAAGATGCAATAAAATCAGCCCCTAAATAACGCTACGCATAAGTAGATGTGAAGGTAGTCAGATTGGGTTGCCTGCCATCATGAAGAAAGCTAAAGTGATTTAAACATAGTCCATCTTAACCATGCCTTGTTAACCAAAGAAAAAAATAAACGCGCAATTCCAGAGAATGGCTTAAAGGGTCTATGACCCCCGCCACACCCACACCCCTGTAATTTAGCTTGTACGTGGAACCCCTCTTTAAATTTATATATTACTTTTTTATATTTATATATTAACTTTTTTGCAACTAAAATCACGCAAACACCAGTGAAAAAAAAACATTTTTTACTTATAGATCTTCTTGGAAAACTGCTAAAATGTCCCCCACCCACTTCGGAAGGTGCATTACCTCAAATTTTGCGACCACCTCTGTTTTAGAATCATGGATCCGCGCCTGACATAAATTGAGTAGGAGCATATTCAATGCGTAGTTAGCGCAACAATTAACATATTTTTTTCTAACGATGATATCACGTGTTTGGCGCGTTGATTGGTCACTATCCCCCGCTACCCACCCTACAATCCATCCTACCTCTCCGAAACAATGTCAAGTGCATTATTGGAATATGTTTTAATATTTGATATATGATTTTGTTTCAATTTCCTTCATTCCCCGCAAAAAAAGAAAGAAAAAAAGATACATACATGTCTATATTTATATATTTGGAGGGTAGGGGGACCAATCAATGCGCGAACACTTGTGGATGGGTTCATCTTACACACAACAATGTATTTATGTATGTATGTATGTTCAAAGGCACAAAAATCATAACAATTTAATCAATGTGCCCTACTTAACAAGAATAATCAAGGCTTTTCAAAATGATATACTAGTAGATCTGTGTTTTAATTTCAAATCAAATGACCATTTACATGACTGGATTTATAAATAAAAAAGAAAACAATTGTTCATTTTTGTGGAGGTCAAAATAATTGTGATACAAGTAGATATAAGTGTTTATCTTCTAAACTAAATACATGTATTCTGAAGTCATTAGACATTATAGAATCATGACAAAATACTATTACTAAATGCGCATGCGCCTGCCTATGCATCTTTTTTTTATCACAGCTAAAACATTTAATAAATATATGAATTGTTAGAGAAGACAACTCTTTATTTTGTCTTTCTCCGTAGTTAATAAGTGCAAGTTTTCCTCCATAATTAACACATTTTTGGCCTTCCACGTCTTTCTGCGACTTTGTTCGAATTAAACGCCGGCCTTTTCCATGTTATGTTTTACACTTATAGTTTTACCCTCCCCAAGTTTAGCACTTATTTGAGCTTTCTTTACGTTTAACACTTTTGTTTGAACTTGTCTGTGTTTAAATTAACTAATACAAATTAAAACTTCGTACAAATTTATAAAAAATGATGTCAGAAATTTTGTATGGATTTTCTTTTTCGATCAGGTAATGGAAGTTAAATTGTTATTCTTTTTGAATATACGTCTTCGTGTCATAACTATACCAAATACTGTATTTATTCCAGACAAAATGTCAAGACGACTTTGCAAGTCCTCAGAATTTGAACTCAAATGCTCTTTGAGTTTTTTTTGTTTGACAACCGTCAACGTGTTTTAGTTTTTGAACATGTTGGTGTAATCAATCCTGACTTTTTTGTCTGCCGAACTACTTTTTATTTTCAAATCATTTCGTTTATTCCTGCTGATCGATGCACTCATCACAGCGCATTAATCCGTTCTCGTCACATTGCATACAACGTAAGGCACAAAACTCTTCCGTGAACTCATTCCGGTGCAGGGACTTTTTCGAGCCGTGGCAAAACGTGCAGGGAAGGTAACGGTAGCCGCCACATTTATCACAGGAGTATCGAACTTGTATTTTCTAAAAATAGAAAACGACACACATACCCAATTATGGTAAAACGTCTTGAACTTACGCTAAAATACAAAGTTCTGAAAGGTTTCTTTGAGAGAAAAAAGTATCGTAGAGAAAAAAGGTTGTTTTTTTTACTTTAAAGCATTAAATGCTCCACCCCAACCCCACCTCTAGACACAACTACCAACATTTTATAATAAACTAAATAAAGAAGAACAGCAACAGAAAAGAACTAACAGAACAAAGTTCTTCTCCGAGAGAAAAAAAATCTTCGATGATATGGCTTGTTTTCTTTTTTTTTTACTTTAAAACATAAAATACTCCACCCAAACCCCACCCCTTAAACAGAACCGCCAACATTTTTAAAAGAAAAGAAAATACGAAACAAAAAGAACTAACAGAAACAAAAACATGTACAAGAAAAATATCGTCTGCCAGCAGATAAAAATAGACTTCAATTACAATATTTGCCGGAAGTAATGATGTTCTCCTCAACTGTTTATTGACATATTGACAGTTTAATACATACACGCATTACTATTTTGCATTTCATTAATTTAAATAAATTCCCAATCAATGAAGATTTAACATCTCTAGACACAAGGCCGAACTTTGCATATACATGTATATAAAGTTTCATCCAATCATTAACAAGGATCTTCAAGGAAATGCGCAATAATTCTAATATCAAACACTCTCGTGTATTATAACTCAAATCTACATATTTTTGTGCGTTCGTCCTTCAGAATATATTTTTTAATATGGGACTAAAATATCCTATCCGAAATACAAAACCTGTATAGGATATGACGTCGAAATAACGAAGAACTTGTGAAAAAAGACTTGAACGCTGACACTATTTGCGCAGTCTGAATTTCAGATTTTATACTGTTACTTGCTCAAATATTAGTCGTTTGATGTTGAAACCCCCTGTCAGTGCACAATGGTGAGTCCGAAATTCAAAGAAGGCTAAGTCCATTACACTATTTTACGGGCGGAAAAAGTTTACCGGACTTTATATTCACTGCCTGTGTACTTTCTATAAACACTTGAAGATAAAAGTCAACTGTTTATCACATTATTTATTTAAAACTCGAAAATGGTCAGGAAACAACTAGGCTACCATAAATAATTCTCTTTGAAGAGTATATATAAACATATTGCTGGTAAAAGGCCATAAATGAACACATTTTACGAGCGTTTTATGTCAGCCGACAAAGTGAATCTGTGATACTTATGATGTAGCTCGTTAAATTTCACAGTTCTTCTGAAGGTTAATGAAGTCATGTCATTTTACTTCAAAAATAATAATATAAAAAATAAGATGAAGTAAAAAGTACCCCCAGCAAAAACGGCAACAACAAAATAGCAATAACAACAAAAATGCAATAACATGAATTAACTAAAGGGACACCAGTGAGTATTTTTTATAAAACCGGAGTGGATTTTTTGGAGATTTTATACCATTTGATAAAGCTCTATGCCAATAACTTATATGCAAAATCTCAGACCGTTCGTTCACACGGTTCCTCCTGAGTTATCATTTCTTTTACAAAACCAATGTATGTCTTCCTTCCAATAAATACCATATAAAAATACATAAATAAAAAGCCCAAACCCTCGTCCTTAGGAACTATACCTTTGACTATGACCAAGTCAAACTTATGTATGACTCAGGCAACACAAGTTTGACCGTTTTAATGTTAAATAAAGCTTTCGCCGTTTACGACAGGTTTGACTGTTGACCACGGATTAAGTAGCATGCCAAAACAGGATTGAGCTAAATAAGATTGGCTGTCTAATACAGGCTTGGCCGCTTTCTACAGACTTGGCTATGAAACACAGTATTATCTTTTAAAATCAGAACGGTCTGTTTTGTCGGCTTAGCATTGGGATGACTGTTTATGGCAGGTTAAATTGCTTGGCACATATTTGATCATTGTATATGTATGTCTGCTCATCAATATTTTGACTGTTAAGCAAAGGTTGGACTGTCATGCTTCACTGGTTACTATATGTTTGACGTCAAACGTAAAAGCTTAAAGTACACATACATTGTAATTATAGAAACAGAAGATACTTACGTTAAAGTTCTTAAACATACATCTTAATTCGCCGGTGTCGTTTAATTTTACAACTTCGTCATAGTCCTGTAAGAAACAATGTCATTTAGTTGCAACATTTTAACTGACATCTCTTTCGCATAAACAAAATATGTAACAACTTAATTAAATAGTCATGTTTAATGAGTTGTAGAATAAGATAACATCCCTTCTAAACAAGTTAAGACCCATCATACTGAAAAACTATCACTCCCACTTGGTTTATGATAAACATGCAATTATTCTTCTTTATGAAAGTTAATTGGAATGTTTGAAATTCAGTATCAAATGATTTTAAGCCTGTTTTAAAGTTTAAAGGGGTTTTGAATATTAAAAGCAAAATCAAAACCTATTGCGGCATATTTTTTATCCAAGTAAGCCCTAAATTCTCAAAACAGATTTATACTGATTTTAGGCCCATTTATAAGGATAGATAATATATTTCATTTCAAACACTTTTCTCTCGAGATCTAGGCAAGCAAACCTCTAAAAATGTGTATATATATAGACAAGAATAATATCATAATGATGTTTGAAAATCTAATCTGGATAACAGTTACCCAGAAATCAGCAATCGTAATATTTCATTTTCTGTCATACCAATATCGGAACATACCAATATCGGAACGTACCAATATCGGAACATACCAATATCGGAACACTTGGTAAGGAGTAAGAATAAACGTCATTTTCAATGATAATAGTTTTTGTCCGAAGTTTGACGTAAAGGGCCTAGAAGATGAGATTGTCATCGCCGAAATGAAGAGTTGCAATTTGCCATTTACTTTACCGAGATATGACGAAAATGGGCTCCATTAACATATTTCCACAAATGTTGGCGTTATTCGAGATCTGTATGTAAAATTACCAATTTTAGGTTATAAATAACAAAAATACATGTAAATCTCCAGCTCCCGTTTTTCTTATGTTGTAACGCATATTAAGATTATTTATATGAGCCGTGTCACGACAAAACCAACATAATGGGTTTGCGACCAGCATGGATCCAGACCAGCCTGCGCATCCGCGTAGTCTGATCTGGATCCATGCTGTTCGCTTACAGACCCTATAACAAGTAAAGAAACTGAGAGCGAACAGCATGGATCCTGATCAGACTGCGCGGATGCGCAGGCTGGTCTGGATCCATGCTGGTCGCAAACCCAATATGTTGGTTTTTTCATGACGCGGCTCAATTATATACACTGTACATCAGGGTCTTTCAAATAGAAATACCCTGTACATAGTTTAATTTTTGAACTCGCCAGTGTATTAAGGTCAGTGCATGTTATTCAAGATGCAAATATCCTAACAAAGGAACTCTGGTGTTACTTAATTATAGTAACGGAATGTTGATAACGCTAACTTATCTGAGATAACGTAGACTGTTTTCATCAATTATTCAACAAGAAGAGTTCAAATAGCCGACTAACGAAACGTTAATTGTTCATCAATTTTAAAGTATGATTCCAATCCCAATACATAAGATTCTTGTTTATTTTAGATTTTCCTTCAAAAAAAAAAAAGTTACAAAATATCACTATTATAGTACTCGGTTTTCTGTTTTTGTTCCTTGAAAAGATACAAAATGTATTACTTTTTTCAGTCAACCTTCACATACTTATAAGTGACAATTAACTATAAAATATTGCAAGTTAACTTCTATATGAACATATATTCCTTATGAGAACACCATCAACGAACACCCATGGGACATATATTTTAACATACCCTTATTGGAACACCGTCAACAAACACCTGTGGAACAGAAGTTTCAACTTACACTGAAATGAACACCGTCGTCACCTAACCTCCATATGAACAGTCAACGAACACCAGTGGAACACATATCATTTTTAACTTACCTCTACATGAACACCGTCAACGAACACCTGACTGTGACAACAATATGTTTACTTACCCGTATATAAACACCATTGACGAACACTTGTGGAACACATATTAATATTCAACTTACCTCTGTATGAGCAACGTCAACAAACAAAGACCTGTGGAACAAATGTTTCAAGAACACTGTCATCGAACACATGAGAAACAACCCCTAAAGGAGCACCGTCAACGAACAACAGTTGAGTAATATAAATTTAAAACTTACCCCTATAATGAACACCGTCAACGAACACCTGTTAAGTAATATCAATTTGAAACTTACCCCTATATGAACACCGTCAACGAACACCTGTGGAACACATATTGCACTTGAGCCTAATCTTTCCTTAAGTTCTTTTTGATTTTCAGCACTCATAAACATATCTCTTTCCTCGTATCGCACCATATGAGTTTGTAACATATTTCTCACAGCTTTACACTTATCCGCAGTTTGTCGTACAACTGTCATGCTAGTTGTATACACGATTATCTTCTCCTTCTCTTCTTGACGATAATTCCTCTGAAAAGCAACAACAAATAATTATTTTAAAGATTTTAAAATGGCGGAATACTTCTTGTTTTACAGAAATTTTACATCATTGCCTTATTAAAAAAAATTGTAATATAATACAGGGAAATTGTTCGATACATTATTCCTTAATGCTTTAAAAATCATGCAATAATTTACCAACAGCAGACGACATGATTTGTTGTTGTTGTCTGCATTACAACAGCAATATAGCCAGCAGTAAGAAACGGAAATTTACTTAAAAGGTTATGGAATTTATAGATTGTATTTTCTTCAATAAATTAACACTTTCGCTTTATTTCTTTGATCATATCGATCAGTTATAAACAAGTGAAAATCTCTTCTTTTATAATCTGCAGTCTGAGTTGTCGTCCCTGAAACATAAAGTTAAAAATAGATGTACGAACGATAACTCTGCATGGATTGATAACAAAGAACGACAACTCTGCATGCGACGATAAAAAGGAACGACAACTCTGCATGGGTAGAGAATAAAGAACGACAACCTTGCATGGGTAGAGTATAAAGAACGGTATCTAATAGATGAGTAGAGATTGTCAAAAAGCAACAACAACAAATTAGAAATATAAAAACAATCCTAACAACAGACTAGATTCGTCGAGCAGATGGCTGTTTTGTTTCGTATTATTTACAAAATGTCATAATTATGGTAAGTTACCAAACCATATTCTTTTCTTTCTTGTTACAACATTTTAGTTAGTTAAATAAAAACACAACACCATACAATACCTAAGGCCACAGACAAGATATATATCATGTGATTATACATGTATATACACGCACTGCATATATTTATACAATGTGAAACAATATCATATACATTACATCACTGTAAATAATACGTGCTTTTATATTTTATTATCTGATAAAGTGGAACAACAAATTTACTGTCACACAACACGTCACCGTTGTGACCTCACCTTTATAAATATATCTTCATCGCTTCCCTGTTGATAAATTAAAAATCAAAGATATAAAAATAATAAATCAATTTAATAAATTCTTCAAGTATCTTCTGATAAGCTCGTGAGAGATAAAAATGAGCCGTGTCACGACAAAACCAACATAATGGGTTTGCGACCAGCATGGATCCAGACCAGCCTGCGCATCCGCGCAGTCTGATCAGGATCCATGCTGTTCGCTTACAACTCTATAACAAGTAGAGAAACTGATAGCGAACAGCATGGATCCTGATCAGACTGCGCGGATGCGCAGGCTGGTCTGGATCCATGCCGGTCGCAAACGCACTATGTTGGTTTTGTCGTGACACGGCTCAAATGTATATTGAACTTTCAAAATATATGACAAACTAAGGTATTGCTGGGTGTTTTTATTATCTCGTTTAAATTCTGGCGGTTGAGTTTTATAAAAAATAAAAAAAGTTGTTTGCATGTGGTTTATGACAATGTCATAACGGCAGATTTCTGATTTTTTTTTAAGTCTGGTAGATGCCATTCTGTGTATTGTGGAAGGCATTGGAGGCCATCATGCACCATCGAACTTTTGCAAGCTAGCTGAAGACTTCTCCAGTCATTTAATTTTCTTTCTTACAAAAGAAAAAAATGTGAGGTCTGTACTCTAAGTGGCTGAAAGGGCGGATGGACCCTATTAAGCCTGGGATACATCAACAATGAACCCTTATGTTGATACTAGTATGCCGGTTCGAATCTCACCAAATTATGAGTGCATGTTTTGTATTATTTGCAACATTTATCAGATTATCAACATCCGTAAACATTTAACCAGGAAGTTACGTCAGAAACTGAACGATTTTCACGTGACATTAAGACAGGACAGGAAAATATCAAATTTCACATATACCTTACAATGTTATAATTTTATCATTCATGAAATTGCGTTTATTCAAACGCATTTTTTATTTGTTAACATTATACAAGGCGAAAAAAAGAAGGAGTTTCAAAACGTTAAACAAAATATATTCTTTTTTTTTAACTTCCTGATTAGATTTGTTCAAAATACCAATTGTTCTGTTTTGATAACGAAAATACAAGCATGTGCCTTCTTTTTTTATTTTCGACCTTCTCGACACTTCATAAAATTGATAAAGAATATTTTGACGAACACGTATTTCAGTTTGATTTCGATGAATTCCTCTCCAACCCCCTGCACCGCAACAATGTCATAAATTTTCTTTCATGTTTCGGCTGGATAACGATTTAAACCCGGGGACTAAACAACCTGGTTTCAGGGGCCTGGGTTCGAGTAACGCCAACATACTTTATTAGAATTAGTTTGGGAACGATAATGATAAATCAAAACTATATACATGTATACCACTATGTTTTTTATGTTAACACGGTTATCCATAAAAAGGCGGTTAGCGTGTAGGGTTTGAGCACCCCGGTTTCAGATGTGAATCTTGGATTACAACCATACATTACATAAACCGAGTTTTGATTCAGTGCAGTCATGAAAATGTCTGTATTGTCTGACATGTACACATTACACTTCTCTCGTTCTGAAAGAGTCGGTAATGGTGAAGCTCTAGAGATTCATGTTGATTTGTAAAACATTTTTATTGTCTTAGATTTTCACAATTGATAAATTATACATTAAAAATGCTCTGTATAAATAGGCGGAGGTAATAAGTGATCAAGATCATTCCCCTTAATAGCATGTTTAAATATTTACGACATATCATGCATATCAAACAAATAAAATGTACATCAGAAAATAATTAATGCACAAAAAACAAAAGTCAGATTTGCATATTAACGAACGATAAAACTTTCTTGTTAATCGCAACTTCTCGGCCCTTTCCGTCAATCTCGGAATTAGAAATAATGGCCGAGACGTTCCGATTGCTATCTTGTTTGTGTATACATAATAAAACAATTATTTGTAAAAGTTGCATGAGTCCAAATAAATCAAAACAAGTAAATCAAAATTAAAAAAAAATATACTAAGATATTAAGAAAAGTAAATACATTCAAGATTCAATTAATAATTTACTTTTTACGTGCCACTAATTACAGGTTATCGGCGTGGGACCAAGCCCTACCCCCAAGGTACCAGCCCCAGGACCCACTATACTACCTAAATATACTTCAACACATTCAAAATACATGTCAATACAAAATCAAACAATTCTATCAAAAATATAGTACTGATACTATAAACTATATGTATTTTGAATGTGTATAGTTGGGTAGTATAATGGGTCCTGGGGGTATCTTGGAGGTAGGGCTTGGTCCCACGCCGATAACCTGTGCCACTAATGACTGATTTATTCAGTGTTCATCACTATATTTTTCTACTGCTTGATTTACGCAGTAAGAGGTATTTTGCATATTTTGACCTATTTTTTTGTGTGGAAATTTACGTGGGTTGTAAGCGCCGTTTGCAATTTGTAAAATACTTTCTATGTTTTTTTGTTTTTTTTTTACTTCATAAAACTTTACCTTTAAATAATTTATAAAAAAATCAATCTGGAGGCATGTATTTTATGGGTTACCAAAATCTGTAATCAGGGGGGAAGCATTACATTTTTTTTTGTATTTTTATGTGTTTAGTATCATGGAACTATACTGAAATGTCGAAAAATATACCCGCGACTGTATTCAATATTTACTTATATATTACAATAAAAATGTTATAAAAACAAACATGTACCATCTGTCCGAACTTAGATACAATACCCTTTGAAATGAGATGCCCCTTGTCAAATTTCCGATCAGGTGTATTACATTTTCGACCTCTTTTTATTATTTTACGCATCCTATGAAAAGTATTTTGTGCACTATTAAACGGCATGTTTTATGTTTTGCGGAAAAGGTATTTTGAAGAAATTCGACACTGGATGACAATTAATAAAGTATATAAAAATATGTTCGTTTTAACGGGTTTTACATCAAGGAAGTCTACAGTTACTGTTTGTTATACGTTAAACTTCAGATCTAAACACATGAAAAGGCTGAAATTTTGAATATACATGTACACTGTACTGTTTATGGTTTATATATAATTTAGATGTTAATGAAAAAGTATCTTGCAAATTTTAAACAAAACCAACTGCAACTCGGCACTGTTCCCGTGCTTTAAAGGACATGACACATTAACTTGAACCTTTCTTTCGCAAAACTGACCGATTTCTGAGGCGGTTCCAGCAGGGGGATAGGGCCTGACTCCCCAAATGGCTGTGATTCGTGCAAGTGCTTTTAATATTACCAGTATTCAGTCAATGAATTTTAATATTGCATGATTTTCACGAGGGGGTCGTTAATCAAAATTTTGCCGATGTACACTACTTTATGCGTGTTTTTTTTTTGCTAAAAACATGAATTAAATATCCAAAAGTTACTCAGAGGGATTCCTCATACTAGTCAAATCACAGGGAGGATTGGGGCGTAATATGACCCCCTTCCCTCACACTCCTCTTCATCTGCGCATGTATTGAAATGTTAAAGACGGGGCTGATGGCATTAAGTCTCGCTAGATGGTAGGGGTCTCCGTACTGACCTAGCCATTAACTGGCCTCACTGGAAATTGTCAGCGTTTTTAAACATCTAAACTGAGCCCCGGCATGTTATTTGTATACTATATCTCAAATCGCCTTTCCGGTGTTGACAGGCAAAATGATACCATTACTTCTACATCAAACTTTTCATTGATGTACACTGTTTGAATGATAAAAGTTACATAGATTAGAAATTCAAAGGTTAGCGGACACAAACACTTTTATCATAAAATCGCCGAAATTTGACTAATTATAATGATATGACGTTAGTTGATACCTTGAAAAATACAATCAATTATTAAATGAAATAATCTATATCTCTAAAGATGCGAAAAACGTCCAAGTGACCAGAATCAAGTGGTGGTGGTGTTGGTAGTTTAACATCCGGATAACGGCATTAAGCCAAATTGAATTTACCAGAGCACAGTTCAGCCGCATCCTGCCAAGCAGTTAACCAGTACTAGTTGCCTTCACTTTCGTAAGGAACTGACAA